GATAGAGAAGATAATTTGATAATTACGTTATGAATAATGGAAACTGAAAAGCACTTCAAGGATGACTACAATAGGAATATAAAGAGTTACGAAATGATGAGTGAAAAGTGAAACAAATGATTATGCGATTGAATGGTTGAGTACAGAAAAACAACGTATAATTTCGCGAAAAATTATTTTATTACAAAAAATACACGTCAATTGTGAATACTATTAAAAACAACATCAAAAACCTTATCATAAACACCACGTAAAACAGCGAATCACAAGACATGACAGTCGGAGGGGAAGAAAAAAGGAGAAACGGCTTATGGCTTAGGGATAGGGTTTTTGTGAAGGAGAAGAAGCTCTACATTGAGATTACAATTGTATAACAATGTGTATAACAATTTAATTGTAGAGTTATGTCATTTCACGTATTAACTCAAAGATTTCAATAAAATAATTATAATAATAGTTTAGAAACACAGGAATAAAACACAGGGAATGTGTAAAAGGATGCCATCAATAGAAATATAACTTATATACCAGAATATATTACAAGTATTACATTATAGGCATTCGTTTATCATATTTATAACGTTATATTAAAAAATAATTTCTAAAAAGCATTACTAAATCGTATTTATAAGCAGTATTTGTTTGGAAATTAATGTGAATGTGTTTTCATTATTTGTTTATCAATTAATTCTTCTAAGAATTAAGCAAATAATACTAAAAAGCGCTAAAAATGACAAAAAACTAATATTAAAAAATGTATTCTCACTGTTTGGGTGACTTTAAAAATAAGTTTTAAAAACAATTTTTCATATTTAAGTGACAAAACAATTATTTTTCTCCACAATAGAAAAGAAAGTTTGAGAAAAAATGATATGTTTTGTAAGAAAGAGGACAGAAATAGCTTTGGTTTAATTGAAAGCATATTTATGTCGAGTGGAGAAGAGTTCGTCGAGAATGGACTCGTCGGCCATCGATGAGATGTCTCCCAATTCGCAGTCATCTCTCGTAACTTTGGCCAAAATTCTTCGCATAATTTTTCCGGATCTGGTTTTCGGGAGACCACTGACTGGATGAATGACCTCCGGGGCCGCCAGCGCTCCGATCTTATCGCGTGCTTTTGTTTCATCAAATCAAACATTGGCTTTACATTACATTTTCATTCAATAGACAATATGTAGATAAATATTACCTCTCTTTTTGAGGTCTCGCTCTAATTCTTTGCTAAATTCAAATCCATTCTTGAGTACAATGAAACAGTAGAGACATTCACCCTTTATTGGATGCGGTGTCGACACCGCCGCCGCCTCGGCTATGGCCTTATGGCCAACAATAGCCGACTCCACCTCTGCTGTCGATAACAAGTGTCCGGAAACGTTCAGCATATCATCGGATCTGCCGGTAATCCAATAATACCCGTCTTTATCTCGTCGTACGCCTGAAAGCAAATAAATTAATTAACAAAACTTCAATGACTGGCCAAAGCCAATGATGAATGTTTGGCGCATACCATCTCCGGTACAGAAATAGCCCCTAAACTTGTGAAAATAAGTCATTTCAAAACGTTCATGATTTCCATCGACAGTGCGAGCGATCGAAGGCCACGGCCTCTTGAATACTAAATGTCCGACCGCTGGTCCGTGCAATTCCTTGCCCTCGTTGTTGACGACCGCCGGCACGACACCGAAGAATGGGAACGTTGCCGACCCCGGCTTCATTGGCGTACAGCCTGGCAGTGGTGTTATCATTGGTGCCGCCTATATATACATTGCAATCATAATCACATGAGTATTGGATAGTATGAAGTGGTAGGAAATGGTCGTACAGTTTCCGTTTGCCAAAAGGTGTCGACTATGGGACACTTGCCATTGCCGACCACATTCATGTACCAGAACCAGGCCTCGGGATTGATGGGTTCGCCGGCTGTGCCCAACAGTTTAAGCGAAGTTCGTTTGTATTTCTTGACGTATTCGTCGCCAAATTTCATTAGCGAACGAATAGCTGTCGGCGCCGTATAGAAGATGTTCACATTCAGGTCGTCCACTATCTCCCAGAGTCGGCCCGGATTCGGATAGAAAGGCGTGCCTTCGAACAGCACTATAGTAGTGCCGTTGGCCAGAGAGCCGTAAACGTTGACCGTATGGCCGGTAATCCATCCCAAGTCTGCCGTACAGAAGAAGACGTCTTCGTCGGTGTAATTGAAGACATATTTAAAAGTGGTCGCCGCGTATATCATGTACCCTCCGATCGTATGCACCACCCCTTTAGGCTTCCCAGTGCTGCCACTAAATCACATGATTTATCACATTTTAATATATTTTTCATAAGCGTAAAAAACAATGAATATAAAGTTTGTAAAACTTTAAGTGTATTTCATTACTAGTCGTGAAAATATTTTTCTAACGTTTGTTTAAACTTTCACTTTTGATTGAATTGAAAGGTACGGTATTTTAACAGTAAAGGGAGAAAAACATATTTCTTATTTATCCTTTAATCAAATAATTTATGATAAGTTAATGCAATCTTTTCTTAACTACATTTTCCTTTTTATGACTTCTGTTGGACTTATTCTCTTCAAAACGTGAGGAAATTTTTTCCATAAATTCTTTGGTTATTTGCACTTAAAATTAGAAAAACCTATTCTTTCGAAAGAAAACTTTTACTTTTGAGATTTAATTGTCATTTCTCTAAACAATTTTGATTTCTCGTTTGTATTCCTGTTATATCGATGTATTGATTACTAAATACAATGTTATTCCTAAGCGATTAGCAATGAATGTTGTTTAACAGGAATGGAAAGGGTTTGAAAACCTTGTATAGAGTATGAAAAGGGGGTCTTCAGCGTCCATCCAAGTGGGCTCACAGTAATCGCTGGCAGTCTTCATCACTTTATCCCACCAGATATCGACCTCAGGGTTCCATTTGATCAGTGGTTGCTTAGGGTTGTTATTCACGTCTGCCTCTTCCACTCCCAGGTTCAGGTGTCGGTTCACAATACACGCTAACATTTGATGACCCCTTCGGATAGATATTAAAAATTCATTGAATTGTCTCCTAATTATGCAAAACTGGTTATAAGGATGAGAGTGAAAGTTGTGATTACTTTTGTTTACAGGCGGCTAACGCTGCGTCCGATATATCCTTTAATGGTATAAATTTGGTGCCCCGGTATGCGCCGTCCGATGTCACCAAAAGCACACAATTGGCGTCTAATATACGGTCGGCTAAGGCTTCAGCCGAAAAACCAGCGAACTGTGCAAATGATGTCAGCGCTCATTATTATTACAATATTATTATTAGACATTGAGTTTTGAGTTTATTTTTAAACATAATTTCAGTAAAGAATTGTATACTAATTATGTTGACTGCACTCAATAAAGTGATAGACGTATGTATTTATATATAGACATAATAAGTGATATTAGTCGGACACTCACCACAACTGAATGGATAGCGCCGACCCGAGCGCAGGCCAACATAGCGGTCACCAATTCAATGGTTACGGGCATATAAATAGCAATTCTGTCGCCTTTCTTAACGCCTTTACTTTTGAGAACATTTGCGAATTTACAAACTTCTCGCCGAAGATTACTGTAAGTGATTTGTTTTCTATTGTTTGGTTCATTGCCTTCCCTTTAAAAACAGTGAACACAAAATCGGAGAAAAGAAAACAAATTGAAACAATTTTTTATTACAAACAGAAAAGCAATGAAAAAGCATAGAATTGCTTAATAGGTTAGCAATAGCTGTGAATATAGTGATATAATTTCACTACAAGTGGAAATGTGTGTCAAATAAATAGTGAAAAATTGTTTGCGAGAAAAGTTGAAAAGAAAAGCAAAGTTTTTTTTATATGATTGCTGTTTATATGTAATACAAACCAATGGTAAGCAATGCGATCGCCTAATCCGTTGTCGATAATCCTGTCGAGAACATTGTAGCACATGTTGGTGACGGCGCCCTCCATCCACTTGATGGAGATCGGGCCGTTCGAGATGTCGAAGTTGTATTTGAGGAACTCGTTCTTCGGGGCGCACTTCCAGTAGAAGTCTTTGGCGATGTCCGTCCAGAAGCCCTCCGGGTCTTCGATGGAGCGCTTATACATCCGACGATACTCTTCGATGTTGGATATGTGAGCATCTCTTTTGTACTCTTCGTTCGGGTAGATAATGGTCTCCTCTTCAGAGTCTGCGATCGCCATCTCATTAACCGATTAATGCGTACTCTCTTTCTTAGTGTGAAGTTTAATGAAGTGAATGCATCTGCAGAGAGACAGAGCACAGGAGCACAGGTAGGGTAGCAGTGGTTTACGAACAGTCACTACAACACACAAACACACACAGAGTCTGTCGAATACAAGTGAGAGTCAGAAGAGAGTGAGAAGAGAGCGGAGAGAGAGATAGAGAACAAGTTCACCAAAAAGTTATGATACACTCAATAACTACTCAATACAAGTGATAACTTCCTCACAAAAAGCCGTTCTCTCAGGTTTTGGCAAAAGTTGCAGCGATTGCTATGAAATAACTACCAAATCATATGTAGTCGAGTCTTACGTGAGTTCTCATTCGCGACCAGCCATTGAAGCGCAGAGTGTCTTAAAGTAGTGATGTGGTGGTGATGGGGCAGTCCTTGGGTCCTCCCATCCATACCATGCAATCAAATGTGTGCTTAAATTCGCTTTTCTCATGGATTTACCACAAACAGGCACTGGAACTGATTGCCAATCCAAACATTTATTATAACATTTTCATTATCACATTTCAGCATTTCTGCCAAATATACTAAGCATTTAAATTCCAAATCATAATTAATATAACAATTCTTCCTCCAAACTTATGTTTGCATAAGTTTTAAGTCAAACATTCACTTCGTTTCCGAATTTTTTTTTACAACTATTTCTTTTTCTCAAACTATTTCTTGTGAAATACTTTTGTCTATAAATGTCTGCATTTTTACATTAATTTTCAATTTTTGAAATTTTCATTAACTTTGTATAATGTCTGAAAACATATTTATTTAATAATAAAAATATCATTTTAATTACAAAATATAGATTTTGAAAATATATTTAATATACTTATAAATTTATTTATCTAATTTGTTGTTATGAATGCAATTCCCCAATCGTTGCGAATTCACATTTTGTTATTAAAATTTAATGTGTATTTCGTTTCATCGTTAAGATTATTAGTTTTATTGTGATTTTGTTTAGTGGGTCTCATTGTTTATCATATTTTACCAAATGTCTTCAATTGAGAGCCCATTTAACTTAATATAAATGCCTTTCTCTCCTCATAACCCAAATGGACGAGAAATTATCGTTCAAATGTTGCTTCATATATGGCTTAATGACAACAACAAAAACAAAAAACACTGAAGTCTATAAAAGTTAACAAAAATTTTTTAAATAAAACTTTAAAATATATTTTTGTTATAAAGGAGGAAAAGAATTGTTTGAAATCTGTTATAACTATCAAATTATTGCAAAATAAAATTAACGCACATTTTGTGGCCATTTCTCAATTAGCTTTATTACAATTTATGGCAATTATTCATAATTTATAATTATTGACATAAAACTTGATTATTTTATTTTTACGATTATTAATTATTAATATAATTTTCATAATAATAATTATTAGATTAAATAAAACACAGCGCATAACAAATGTGCAAATTTTTGTTTGTTTTAAATGGATTGCAATCACATGAGTGAATACGTTATAGAAATAAACATTATGTTTTAGTTTTAAATGGTTTAACCACTTATTGTGATCAACAAATATTCAAATAAACCTTTTTACATTTAACTCCATTGCCATTACTGTTTCCATCAATGTATTACACCAGTAAAGGGTACTTATAATTGCAATGAATTAAGTGAAATTTTATTTCTGGGTTTTAATGTCTTAAGAATAAGTTTGAATTTTATTTTAGAAATGATGTGAATATTTAAATAATAATTAAAATCACAAGGCAATTAAAAGATATAGGAAGATGATCCATTAACAGTTTCAAATGTCATAATTTCCTGATAGATAATTAATTTTATAATTATTTTTAATTATATTTTGCAATATGCTTTTCAATTGACGCATCTATCAAAGCTTTGAATAAGTGTGTAATGATTGGATTTAATTATCAAATGGATTCAATTATTAATTAATATACAGCTGGAATCAGTATCAGCTGGAAAAATTTCTAATTGATATTTGATCTTGCTAAAAGTACTATTTTATTGATAGATGACATTATAATTAAAATTTTGATGTTGAATAAATTAATTTTAAGTACAATTTTTGTAGGATTTTTTTCCGCATATTATTTATTAGTAATAAATTATTACTAATATTATATGAAGGCATTGATAGGGCATCACTTCGACCAAAACCAATTGAGCCGAAGAAACAAACAATGCAATTGTCAAATATGTGTTGTTTCGTACGCCTCCTATCCCAGAGACAAATCCAATATCAATGTATATTTTGAGTAGACCTTCAATATAAGTTGCATTTAACACTAACCAAATGCATGTCATTTACTTTACTACATATTTGATTTAACTTTAAAAGTTAATAACAAATCTAATATAAGAAATTTTGAAGTATTCATAAATAATATATTTATAAATTTAATCTCATTGAGTGTACCCTTAATGGGTGTTATATTTGACTATTTATATCGCTTTGAATATTTGCATATTATATTCGCTAGAATTTATATATTTGAATGCATGTGAGAATCAATAAATTATTTACCATTAGTTGGAGTGAAAAAAAAGTTTTTTCATTGAAGGCCATAATTATTGCATAAGTTTCTCGGCGTTCAAAAAGTAATACAAGGAATTGTATGACGTTTTGACTCTCATTTTACGTATAGAAAGATTATAATTATTCAATATATTCTTTATGTTATTTAAATCCATTTTAAAATTATTTCATTCATATTCTCATAAACATGTTTAGCATTAGTTTCAAGTTTTGTTTTTGAAAAAAAAATTAATTTTTTAGCGATTAATAACGTATAACTTACTTGTAAATAAAAAATCAATATAACTATTGTAACTTATATATTTGATTTCAATTTTAAGCATTAATTTTTCATTAGGGGGTAATCATATACAAATTCAATCATTTAATTTCTTATTTAAAATTAGTGGTAAAAATATATCCTTTAATTATAAAACAATATTTGATTAAAAATAATTCAATTAAAGAAAATGATTAAAAAATATTAAATACAAATCAGTATTTTATTTATTTTGAACATAACTATAGAGAAAAGACATTTTGTTGATTGATTACAAATAAATAGCTTTAACACAAGAAATGACAGAAAATTTTGTAATTAAAATAGAAAACGGAAAAGAAATGGACGGAAAAGTTGAGACACGAGTCTCGCTGTAAGGAGTGATGAATTCATTAGATATCCTGACTTTTCTTCACACAATCCGCCACTTTTTTCTTGAAGCCTTGAAAGTCATTGCGAAACTGTTTGGCGGCGTCGACGTTGGCCGGGGAGCTGTCGTTCGGGTCGGACAGCATTGAGATGACTGATAAGAGTATGGTCTCGACGGTGTGGACGGGTGTCCAGCGTTCGCAGGCCTTCTCATTGCCGTAGGTGTCCTCTCCGGGCTGATGGAGGATCGAAATGCACACTTCGCCGCTCTTGAAGATGTTTGGGTGCCATATCTCAGTCGTGAAGCGCATCTTCGGCGGCCTCTGCGGGAAGTTTTGCGGAAAGTCGAGCTCCGCTCTAAACATACCGCCCTCATAGAGGGTGTCGGGCGGGCCCACAATCATCACTTCCCACTTATACAGGTTATTCTCGTCCACCAGTCCGGCGCTGAACCCGTCCACCGGTGTCTTCTTCAGATCGTTGAGCTGTTTGCGAAGAATAAGACTCGACTGACTGGCCATATATGGGACACAAGACTATCTTCAGTTAAAAGCTATATAATTGTGTTTTACAAGCGATTTATTGATATCTTTGTGTGAATTTTGTTACTCTAATATTCAAACGAATAATTGTTTTATACTTGAAAAACAAAATTGATTGCGAGATCGAGAGTTCAACAATGGGTTCAATCGCTTATTTAGTAATATTTTCTTAGATTATGTTTCAATTGTTTATTCACTGGAAATGTTTAAAAGGTTTACATTAAGTGTTGACTTAAAACCAATTTTAATCCTTAAAAAGCGTTTCGACTAAATCTTAAGAAAATATAACTTAAGTCTGGAGTGCGATATAAAAGTGAAAGTTTTTTACATTCATTAAACTAGTGATTCCGTGTGTGAGAAATGCGATGAGAGAGAGAGAGAGAGAGAGAGAGAGAGACGATTATAAGCAAAATTACATAACAAGAG